CAGGGTAAGGGAAGGAAGCAGCAACTGAACACTTGTTGGAAGGCATTGTTCAAGACCAATTGGTATGATTGTAAGTGTTACTCGTTGATAGAATGAGACTGAAAGTAGAGCTGTACAGTGTGTGAGAATCGTACTGATGGATTGCAAGGACGATTCACAGAGGGAACTTTGCCTCCTTTTATGCCCGTCAGTCAACTGAGAGGCACGTTAGACCTGAGCTCAAGATACCCCCCGCCTCTGCTTTAAACGTTAACATGCTCCGCTCAAGGTCTCCATTCCTAATTCCAGCTCATTTTGTTTTAGCAGACAAGGATAACTCGGAGGTGCCAATTTCATAACTTCCTAATTCTTGACCGGCTAGCTGTTCAACTGCAGCTAGTCATGCAGACCGGCATTATCGTAGCGTAGTTATGGTTCTTTTCGTTCACCATGCACATTGTTGAGATGGATGGTCCATTATTGGTACCTTGGCTTGCCTGTTGAGCCGAAAGTTCTGTATTTTGTTAGCCAGTCTGTACAAGGTCTTGAGCAAGAGTTTGTGAGGTAACTGTCTAGGATATCCTGCCTTGCATGAACCTTTACGCTTGCAAATCGCAATGCGTCGCATAGAACATAGACTGCAATTGGGCTTCTTGTGGAGGAGGGTGGTCACTCGCATGTGGGACAGGGTTGGCTGCCTCGGGAAGACTGGCAAAAAACCAGTTGATTTCCAAAGGAAATCCAGTAAATTCTGGGAGGTATGACGCAAGAAATTTCGACGGTTAATTACTTTCGCCAACTCTGGGAGGCAATAATTTATTTTTTTTTTGGGGATCTTACGAGTCGACATGTTATTTATCCATTAATCAGGCTGACACTGTGACAGCCCATGGATAACCTGGCTGGTCACTATCTGTCATCACGAAGTTTTCTTAGCGTTGTCTTCACCAATTTCACGAGCGGTTGGCCCTCCACCATTGCAACTGCCGCTTATGAAAGCTCCCAAGTGGCCAATTGTCACGTGCTCATGAAGGACAAAATTCTTCCGGGCCTTACGGCTTATAACTGGTGAGAGCATTGTCGAAGGTGCCCAACTTGCGCGTGAGGGTGGCCCCGCAATACACCCTGATAGTGAACGGCCGCAATGCATGACTACCAGAGAAATATTTTACCCACTCTGAGCGATTCGAAACGTCTCTTTTACTCGGTATCTGTTCCCTCCAGATCTTAAAAAGTTGAAAGTTCCTCGCAGCTCGTCTACGTCCGCTAGTCTTGATCGTCTGTTTGGCGTGAGTGGGGATCTTTTTCTACAGCAAACACTCGGATCCTTATGAGGGCGGTCTTATGCCACTATCTTCTTCCCTGAATATCTAAAAGTCGCATCTTCGTACCGACTCTTCGCAGGCAAAATACTATCGTTGAAGGGGCTCAACATCACCTGAGTGTATCTTTTGGGTCGCGCTTCTTTCGGTATGTTCCGCAAAATCAAAGCGCCGAGGTCTTCGACAGAAAAAGAGATTTTGGACATCTGCCAGCGTGAAGCAAGTATCATCTGATCTCTTCCTTAGTGATTAAATCGATAATAACAACTTGTACAGCTAGGTTGCGACCGATGTAGAATTGAGCCGGGTCCTACAATGGAAGTTATATACAAGACCTCGCCACCTGCCAATACCATAGCCGTTCTCGTGGATATATCGTCAGCCGGTGGTGCAATAAAGATTGGAGAGGCGTCTGATAATGCCTTGGGCGTTGGTGCTGTCGGGATGGTGGGGACAGAGGACGCTGGCGACTTAGTGATTGTGCCGTGGAATGTTGGATGGTGGTATTATTCCATCGGGTCCATTGGGATAAAATATATTGTGAAGGCATAAAGTGTGAGCCGATATAGTTTTTTACATCACTTGGCGACGCTGAGCACCAAAATAGAGGCATATTTGGTGCGTGATAGGAATGGTTATGAATGGCAACGATGAAATATCGTATGGCTCTGTCATCCAAACTCCAGCTGCTATTTGGTTTGACATCACGATAGCGCGAGCATCTTCATGTGTCAGTGCAAAGACCCGTCCCGAAAGAGAGTCTGTGACCGTTAGGATATGTTGTCGCATCCTTAATGAGGGATCGAACTAACTTTGTCGCAGCTCCTGAGAATTCTCCCTTTCAACGTCGGAGATATCTTTCCCTGTCGGTCTGGATTGCAAGTCCCGAACCCCTGATTGAGATGATGGCAGCAAATTCTCTGAAGGAACGACAGGAGTGTCCGACACCGGTATCGGCGCTGTCAGTTGATGCGGTTGTGTTGGCTGGTTTTGCCCGTTGTCTGAGATATCATGTTGTTGTTGTAATGCTTCCTTGGCATGTGCTACCTCAATACCTGCGTTGCCTAAGGCTGATATATATTAGCTTTTTGTTATGTTAATGCACACGGATATTCTTGACCTTTTGGCGAGTATTTCCGAGCGAGATTCTGAAGGAGTGGGGATTTCAATTGTCTCTCATGCTGCTTAACCTCGAGGGGAAGGCGGACTCGTAGAGGTTCTCTCATATATCCAATAATCGTTTGTCCAAGACCAAGAGCACAAGCAACGACCAGCTCGTCATCATTTAATTTCTTTAAAAAATGTCGATAATTATCCCGCCTCTCATCAGCCTTCGACCGTATGGGCTGCCGGGGTTGGTGGATCAAACGAAAGGCATCTCGAACACGTTTCTCCTCATGAGATTTAATACTTGGTTCGACACCTGGTTCGACACCCTGTCGCAATTCGATTGTTTGGATAGTTGATAAAAGTTTAGAGATAGCCTCTTTAATCGTGAGAGACGTGTATGTGTGTTTCCTCTCCGGCCCATCCATCATTGAGGTTCTTTCTTTCAGATGAAGCGGAATCGGGAGGATGTGGAGATTACGAAGAGAAAAGCAATCTGATCGGAAATGCACTGGAATTATAGTGACTTTCACATGATTTTCACTCGATAGGCAACAAACCAAGAAGCGGTCTCCTATTGGATTGATTCCAAGCCAAGCGCGCTAGCTCAGCAACTAGCAGAGTTGCATTTTCTTAGAATGGGTGGGTCATTTTTCCGTAAAGGTGAATGGGAATCCACTGGAAATATAGTGTATTACACGTGACTGTTCTTAGTAAGTGTTGAATGTTAACTAAGTAACTGTAGCACTTTTGGAACAGTTAGGCCAATGGGATCTTAAAATGGAAAAGAAAAGGTGTTAAAGAATCAGCAGAGGGTTCGACGGCAGACGAGACTGAACACGCACGAGCTTAACACCGAGGATGGCGGGGACACCTGTTCATCGAACCCGCCGGACTGTCTGTGCTGTATCACGTGATGTAACCGCTGCCTTAGTGCCTTGTTGACAAGTCTGGTTCAGGTGCCAAGAAACCATCAGCAGGTGATGGGTTTCTAATTGAACTCCCTGTACGACTTTTCCGCATTAGCTCATTCCTTATGACAGACATCGACTCTGGACACGGGCGACAGCAATTTTAACTCTCACTTCCCTTAACTTTCTCTATTCCAATCATGATGTCGTTCATCCATCGTCTTCGTGGGCCACTATTGTCTCCATTCTGGCATATCCTTTCGCGCCTTTTCCATGGATTCCTCGGGTTATTTCTCTCGACTTTTGATGGGCAAGCTAAACAATCACTCGGGGGTGATGTTGAGCAGTGTACACCATCACGGCATCATGTGAGAATTGAACCAGTTTTCCCTTTTGTTACATTTCTCACTGTTTATTTACAGGCACCTAAGATAGATCAACCCAGCAAGCCAAATAAGCCTCCAGAATATCCCGCGTCTATTACATACCGACATATTCGAGCCGGACCAAACATTGAGCTCCCACAGCCAGGGCCAGGGGAAATCATATATGTTGCGAAAGGCGATTTCTTGGCTCGAGGAGGAACAGCAATCCTCGAGCGGTTATCATCTGGTGAAGTGGTGAAGACACCAACACCAAACCCTTTCTTTCCAAGAGAAGAAGAGGATTGCCGTCGAAATATGCGATTAGAGGCTCAAATATATCAGAGAATCGGCGAACATCCACGCATACCTAAGTTTATCAAATGGGAACCCGATACCTGTTGTCTTACGATCGAATACATGGACAATGGAAATCTTCGAGATTATATCAGAGAAAATCATCACGCAATAACATCTGAGCTCCGTCTCAGATGGGCCAAGCAAGCAGCTGAAGGACTTCAAATCCTTCATTCTGTTGATGTTGTTCACTGTGATGTCTCGCCAAGAAACTTCTTGTTAGACTCTGGCCTTAATCTGAAGATCTCCGACTTTGCTGGTGCTTCTCTGTCCGGTTCAGAGCCGTCTGCATATTCAGCAACTCGATTTCGACATCCAGATTGCAACTTGGATGTTACTCCCCGTTTTGAGGATGATATTTTCAGTCTCGGTTCATTGATCTATTTTATTATGACCAATAGCTATCCTTATGAAGAGATTTCTAGTGACGAAGTGGAGAGGCTATATACGCGCCGACAATTTCCTGACGTTACTCATCTCCTGTGTGGAAGAATTATTGAACAGTGTTGGCATCAACAAGTGGACGCAGCCCAAGTATATAATTCTCTCAGCCTCATAGGTGATTGAGCTAGCTACATTCATTTCAATTGTTTTTAATTATCTCTTCCTTGTGCTCCATCCTCCACTCTTCTCTTGTCGTGTTCTAGAGCTTGTCATCGAGTATCGTGCTCCGCGTAACCTTCATCTCTGTGCAATGGACATTGGTTGCGACTGACAGTTTGACCAAAGTAAATTTCAGGTGGGTTTTCGCATGGTTGCTGAGTTGCTGCGTAATTCGGACAGTCCCTTGTCACTAGATCACGAGAAACTCTAGTGCAGGATGATGGGCAAAGAGCATATCGTGTTGTAGTCACATGGACCTTGCACATCTTGAACTGTCTCTCTGTGAGCTTAGCAAGACAATGTTATAAGGATATACATTACCTGGCGAAATCTAGGCTATCATGGAAAGAAACTGTCAGACTTGTTTCTGTTGGCAATGTACCGACATGGGATTCCTTGAGATACCTGGCCAATCTTTTATAGATAAGAGAGTTGCCTTACACGTGTGACGAGGTATCTACCCCACTCCGGGTTGATTCATGGGTGGCTGCCTATTTCAGCGGCTTGCAAAAAGACGCCGAGAGTTACATTAATTCTACACGAATTCCCATGGTTTTCTAGAAATATAATACCGAAATTCCAATAGTTATCCGTTAGTTCCTTCTCTCACTTTCGATTGGGAATAAGTTTATATTTTCAGAAATTCTACTATTTCCACAAAAACAAGTCCTCCAATGTTCTAAGATCAAAAGCTTTCATTCGATGGTGGTAAGCCTGGCAAATCAGCTTCCTACTGCTGTTGTTCCATCCTTGCTAGGATTGTCTGCGCTGTAAGCGCCTCCAGGTAGGGTACCAGGGTGACTCGTACTAACCAATGTTATAGCACGACTCCGGCATGAAGGAGGGGCATGTCATGCAAAGGTCACGTGACATGGATTAAAATGATCCATCTACCACCTTGATCCAACAGGACCTATGATCCAACACTCTGAACGATTCAAACAACCTACTGATCCAAACAGGCAAGCATGTATATAACAACGTTCCTTTCAGATAGATGCCGACCCTCGTGGTCGACTCATATAGCAATCTAGCATATATACATTGCTAGTAACCCAGGCCTATTACTATTGCTATACTGCTCACCCCCTTGTTTCTTGTCTTCAAGATAAACCCAGCGACCCTTTGGCCTAGTCACTAGGGCCTGTCGTTACAACCTGCAAGCCGATAAAAAGAAAAATATTGAAAAGGTGCAAACTATGGACTGTCCATCTTTGGTGACGTACAATGTATCTACCCTGCGGACTCGGCTCCGCCTAGGGTGTCCCTATGGGGCTCCTCCAAGTTCACTATTGGACTCCTGTGTACCTTAAGGACCTCAGTGCTCAGCCTACGGAGTAGAAAATGAAATAACGGCTGTAGCTATGTTCAATTGGCAAAATATAAAGATGGCATGGATAAAGTATCTTTCGCATTTTCGCTTCTTAATCTCACAATTCGTTTCCTGAAATCGACACGCAAAAAATACCTAATTGATGGCATTGGCTGGCAGTCCTGCAGGAGAACTTGCTGGTGTCGACTCCACCCTAGTCCAAGTCGAAGAGCACAAGTCTAAAAATAGAAATACAGCGGTTGAGCCATGATGGCCTGTGATTGCTGTTTCTTCTCTTTCCAGATTCCGCTCACTGGGAGGGTACAAGTAGGGATGGCTTGGAAAACTTAATGCTCCTCATAAGACCAACAACCATACCTCAAGGCATTGGTGGTGAGAACACCATGAGGTGACACTGGTGGGGTGAGCAGCTCATAGCCCTGATGATGACCGCGATTCACTGCGAATGGGGAGCTGTTTGATTGGGTGAGCATGATTGTGGCACAGCTACTGCGCATCTGTGGCTCATAAGCGCCTTGGTGGGGACAATGCGATAGATTATCAGACGCTACTCGCTTCGGCGCGGGGGCCTGTCAACCGCCTGGGCCAATCGGGGTGTCATTTGAGGGATTGGCCCAAATGGTTATCGCCGTTAAGCATCCCTAGTGGACGGCTCGGCCCGACATTGCTGAGCCGCGCGCCACGATGTTCCCCTTCTTCCAGCAGGTAAAAACGAAGCCCTAATTGTTGGTTCGATGGTCCCTCTCAGCATAGAACGCCCCAAAAGAGCTAGATGTCATGCAAGTTATCATGTGGTTGAGTCTCGCCTCGGCCACTGGTAGATATAGATCACCCCAGAATCACCCCTGCGCTCTTCCCATCTCGGCGAGAGTGTCCCATCGGCTGTCACCGTCGAAAATGGCTCAATCCGGTTTCCTGTTTTGGAATCTGCGATCCGTTTTCGTTTCATCCCTCACTTGTAACAGTGAGTATTTCGGGGTCAACCTATGCTATTTGGATCTGAACTATCTCCACTTGTCTTCTAAAGTATGGAACATGTTTGAGAAAGTGATCAAGACACCTGGCAATGGGTTAAATTACATCTCGAGGATCCATGACCAGGCGACAACCATCCTGATCTATCATCAAGCCAAAAGTGAGGACGTTGGAGCCAGCCGCTACTCGCTTAGTCGGCTCTTAGTCGTAACTATGTCAAGTCGAACCTTTGCAAAGCGAGCCCCTGAGCTGGCCTCTATGTAGTCCACCTCCCATAACTCATTCAAATAATTGGTTGACAGGTCGCTTCGCTCCCCGCCTGCGACTTTCGCACGCCGCCTGCGACTCTTCGCTCCCCGCCTGCGACTCTTCGCTCCCCGCCTGCGACTCTTCGCTCCCCGCCTGCGACTTTTACCCCTCTACAGCTTTTACTCCTCAGCTTTTGCTCCTCAAGTGACTCTTCCTGCAATGATAATGAAAATTATTTCTGGATGACATATGAGTTCCAGTTGGACCGATGATTGCCACAGAATGGGCAGTGGTACATCACATCGCCCGTACAGCGCTCTAACAGCCACTGTGCAGAACAGTTGGGACAGCGGTATTTCATGAGGTTCGAATTTGGGGGCTTCCACCGAGCCAGATACTGGACAAGATCAGCGGCGAAGCCCACAGCCTCCTCAAGGACAGTTTGAAAATCATCGTTCTTCTGCAATTCATCAATATGCTCACAGGAGATCTCCACGAGAGTATCTCGAAGACCTCGATCTTCCTTCGGGGTGCATGTATATGCCTCTGCAATGGCTGTGGGAAAATCATCCATTTGCCAGCATGTCTTAGCGATGTTTTCGAACTTCTCTTTTGCTCGCTGTTTTAGTTGTGGAACACCATACTTGTCGGCAAGTTGATACACCTTGACATTGAACAGTATGGGAGAAATACGGCCACGGTCGCTACCGCTGCTGTCATATTCGTATCCATACATGAAGTGAACCATTGCCTCAACAGCACGTGGGTCATCATCCTTGAGTTGTACAACATTCTCAGCCGTTTCCTGCCATTCAAGCATTAGAGTCTTGCTTGCAGAGCACACGTTTGTAGGCTTACCGCCCAGTTTCCGTTGAACAGCCGAGAAAAGTACTCCGACCTTCCGCAGACCACCAGTCTATGCACTTTAAATTCTTGATCCTCCGTGTAGATAGTTAGATCCGAAAACCTGGAGGAAAGAAAGTAGCTGCTACCATTAGCACTTTAGAGCCTAGTTCCCGGGGCTGCAAAACTAACCTCTTGATACTAGTTGACAAGTCACCCATTCCTTGATCATGATTGGCTTCATCATGACTGTCAATCACGTCAAGTGTATTGTTCCCGCTTTCTGGCATCGTCTCCTCCTTGACTGTTGTACCGCGATTACGGAGAGCCTTTTTCTCCTTTTTCTTCATGTACTCTGTGTCAGGAAGTGAAATAAGAGCTTCTCGGTTGGATGCCACCAGAGCTTAAGCGGAAAGAACTTCAGTTGGAAAGCACTGCTAGCAAAGCTTTCGGGATGTTGAAAAGGAAAAGAGAAACTTGTCCTTAGGTGGCAAGGGGGGGATGAGATCCTTATGAATACCTGTAGTTTGGGTTTGTTTCCTTTCTTTGTCTTCTACCATTGGTCATCAGTGTGACGGCTTGATGCTACTCACCCTGCAGGGCTCCGAGACACGCCGTTTACCTGTCTATCCTGCTTGCACCACCTCAGTTGCCTAAGATTCCCCAAGCTGCTCGCCCCCATAATCTTCTATTTCTTTTCTCTTCAGCCTGATCTTTTCGTACCATACTGCCTTATTAGCTTCTGTCAGGGACATGACAATGAAGTAGTATGAGGTTGTGTTGGCGGCCTGATTTCCGGCAGCAAATTTCCCATTTGGGCACGACAAATGAAGTTGTCAACCAAAATGTAGATCGCAAGGGTGTCGGATGAATAACTCAGTATTTCGAGGTGTGTCGATCTATATTAGGTTGACATTCTGTCAGTCGTTGTTTAATGACCAGAGAACGTTTCAGCCTTACCTCAAGCCTTGCAGCGCCTTGTAGAGTTTGTGGATATTGATTTTGAATGGGTAAAGACCTAACCGAGGATACTTGTGGATTGCAAGTTTTTGCCTAGATCTTCACCGTCACTGACAATGGTCGCCTCGCTTTGGAACTGGCAGACAAATGAGTCAGAACTCAAATGGAACTGAAAGCGAATTATGCAAGGAAAACTACTGCTCGTTACTGCTTATAGAACAAAACCATGTCGCAGTTGATGTCGCATACCTAGAGGCAATGAAATAAGCCCTCTGACGGTAGCAAGAACTCGGTCGAAACCAGAGGTTGTTTTCAACGATGTAGAGAGGAGTAAACAGATGGAACTGTGACGCGGCGCGTTTATCACCCTTGACTTCAAATGTTTGATGAATGCTGATTGAAAATTCATCGGAACATTCAGCTGGAAGTCAGACCGACCAGAATCATGTGATCAGTGATTCGCCTGACTTATGCTAGACCAACCAAACAAAAAAAAACTCAAGTAGTTATTGCCGACATCAGAGGACTTGTTGTATGATCCTATCCACTACTCTGCATACGATTTTGGAGATCAAGCCCCTTCATCAGCCATGCATCGAACAGCAACTCTCTAGCCGTTAGCCTATCTTCAGGAATCCACTTCAGTGCCTTTCGAAGGAACTGCAAGAATCCTTCCTTGTCTTCTCCCTGGATGTCGGCCGCTAGGCTTTCGAGGGTAATATCCGGAATTGGTGCAAGGTCTTTCCATCTGCCTGGAAATTTAAAACGTATCAGCAGGTAAATAAGACATTGCAATAAGAAGAAGACTGAAGAATAATAGTGTAATTGGCGACACACCATTGTCGTCCCAAAATACAGCACAGACCTTGCTTCGTTTACGGAATTCAAATGGGGGAGGTCCCAGGATTGCAAT